ATACAACTGAGTCAGCTCTATGCTTTGAGTTTACCCTCAAGTTTTAATCGAATCGTTGCTAATGCAATTTATAATTAGTTACTTAACGTAAATAACTTATTTAGTTTTGATAAAATGATTGAGATCTTGTCAAAACATAATCTTGAAATGTTTCGGTTTAAGTTAAGAAACATTTTAACGTCAACGCTAAAAGAATTATTTCGTATACAAATCTTGTAAACGTTGGTAAACATTCGGTCGGTGTTGACGATATTTATAAATACTAAACATCTCCATTCGAATAAGAAAAAAATCTTTTGCTCTCACTTTTTACAGTGGATGGATTTTTTACGACTGTTTGGAGAAAGTTTTTTTCTAAACACAATAAACCCTAACGTGAACAATTTTTTTTATCAGCAACTTGAGACGTACAAAACATTTTTGGGATGTAACACGATCCGATCGATTTCGAGAATATGTTCTATCGAAAACTCTTTTGTTCGTTGAAGAACGCCAACAGCTGTTCTGTTTGGAAATTTGGGACGAAAATCTGTTACCATTTCAGCACGAAATCAGTGACAAATTGTGTTGGGGGAACCAGATGCGCGGATTTATTACATCTACTAAAATCGAATACAGTAAAACTTCGATATAACAGACTATATGTATACGAGGAAATGTTTCTAGATCTACTAGAAAATATTCAACAATCTAACGCTGAATAACAATTAAAACTAGAATTTAGAAAGTTTCGGGTTTAGCCGTGCGTCTTCAGCTTTTCTTTGACAAGTAAATCAATCGTTAGCTATGATTAACTTTATGTTTAGACCTATTTCACTCTGGTGTTAAGAGCTAGCGGCAAGAAATGTGGACGAAAAAGCAACGAGACTATCAGAGCTAAAAAGATTGCCTTTTTATCTAGATCTAGATCTAGATATACTGAAAAGATCAAAATGCTATCCATACAATGCAATTACCGTCGTAGCAAGACCTTTTTATGCCGCCATTGATATAATGCAAAATATCAACGTTGTGATACAAGACCAAGGTTCATAAAGTCAGAGATTGATTCCATCTGCTTTTTTTGTATCTAATAGAGGGTTTTAGGGTCTAATAGATGAAAAAAGGTTTAATGGCAGTAGCAAAAAGAAAATTTAATTAAAGAAACGTTGGAAATACATGATTTTGCATAAACTTTTTGATCAAACTTGGCAGAAAAGTTAAACTACTAAAAGGTTTAACAGAGAGTTTTTCAGTTTTACAACTTTATCTGGATTTTAGCCCAGATTGATTGTTTTTGCCTTTCTGGTATATTTCAGGATGTGATCCCCTTGCATGAGGGTGGCTTTTCTTCTAAAAAATTGCAAATCGCCTTAACCAGAATCAATTTATCATTATGCGCAGCTGTCAATTATGGAGTGGGAATGGTGCAGAAGAGAAACTGCAGCGCAAAGAACGCCTTGAACGATTTATCGCTGGCTCGAACTTTCAGCATGGAATGTTATCGCCCACATCTTATGTTACCACTAAGTCTGTACTGGTGCAGGCTGCTTCTTTTGTTTGGCGATGCATGATACCCTCATGAACGGAAGCCAAAGAAGGTTTTCTATTGCAAAGCCCAAACTGTGGGGATTATGATTCTTTAACTTCCGCGACATTTGGATGATTTGGTGGAATACTATACATCTGCAGGAGTTGGAAATTATTTTCCAAGAAATGGATTAAAAAAGTAAAGAAAAGTAACAAATGAAATAGAAAGATCATATCTTAAGGACGAATTGAGATATGATAATAAAACAAAAAGCATTGTAAAGCAAATTTAATGAAGATTCAATGCACCATAAATAATTTCTGCATAAACTTGGTTTTTATGATGTTTTAACCCCAACTCTGCATCTTTATTCTTTTAAGAATTAAATAAATCATATCTTAAGAACGAATTGAGATATGATAATGAAATACAAAATAAAAAACAATTTAAAGGAAATTTGATAGATTCGATGTGCCATAAATAATTTCTTATTCTCGATAAACTTCGTTCTTATTTTATTTTAACCCCATCTCTACATTTTTATTTATTTTTTTAAAACTGAGTATAAAAATCTTATCTTAAGAACGAATTGAGATATGATGATAAAATAAAAAGCATTTTAAAGCAAATTTAATGAAGATTCAATGCACCATAAATAATTTCTTGTTTTCCATAAACTTGGGTTTTATGATTTTTTAACCCCAACTCTCCATCTTTATTTTTTTTAAGAATTTAAAAAATCATATCTTAAGAACGAATTGAGATATGGTGATAAAATAAAAAGCATTGTAAAGCAAATTTAATGAAGATTCAATGTGCCATAAATAATTTCTTATTCACCATAAACTTGGTTTTTATGATGTTTTAACCCCAACTCTGCATCTTTATTTTTTTAAAGAATTTAAATAATCATATCTTAAGAACAAATTGAGATATGATAATGAAATAAAAAACAATTTAAAGCAAATTTGATGAAGATTCGATGTGCCATAAATAATTTCTTATTCTCGATAAACTTCGTTCTTATTTTATTTTAACCCCATCTCTACATCTTTATTTATTTTTTTAAAATAGAATATAAAAATCATATCTTAAGAACGAATTGAGATATGATGATAAAACAAAAAGTATTTTAAAGCAAATTTAATGAAGATTCAATGTGCCATAAATAATTTCTCATTCTCTATAAACTTGGTTTTTATGATGTTTTAACCCTAACTCTGCATCTTTATATCTTTTAAGAATTAAAAAAAATCATATCTTAAGAACAAATTGAGATATGATAATGAAATTAAAAACAATTTAAAGGAAATTTGATAAAGATTCGATGTGCCATAAATAATTCCTTATTCTCCATAAACCTCGTTCTTATGATTTTTTAACCCCAACTCTACATCTTTATTTATTTTTTTAAAATAGAATATAAAAATCATATCTTAAGAACGAATTGAGATATGATGATAAAACAAAAAGCATTTTAAAGCAAATTTAATGAAGATTCAATGTGCCATAAATAATTCCTTATTCTCCATAAACCTCGTGATTATGATTTTTTAACCCCAACTCTACACCTTTATTTTTTCTTTTTAAATAGAATATAAAAATCATATCTTAAGAACGAATTGAGATATGATGATAAAACAAAAAGCATTTTAAAGCAAATTTAATGAAGATTCAATGTGCCATAAATAATTCCTTATTCTCCATAAACCTCGTGATTATGATTTTTTAACCCCAACTCTACACCTTTATTTTTTCTTTTTAAATAGAATATAAAAATCATATCTTAAGAACGAATTGAGATATGATGATAAAACAAAAAGCATTTTAAAGCAAATTTAATGAAGATTCAATGTGCCATAAATAATTCCTTATTCTCCATAAACCTCGTGATTATGATTTTTTAACCCCAACTCTACACCTTTATTTTTTCTTTTTAAATAGAATATAAAAATCATATCTTAAGAACGAATTGAGATATGATGATAAAACAAAAAGCATTTTAAAGCAAATTTAATGAAGATTCAATGTGCCATAAATAATTCCTTATTCTCCATAAACCTCGTGATTATGATTTTTTAACCCCAACTCTACACCTTTATTTTTTCTTTTTAAATAGAATATAAAAATCATATCTTAAGAACGAATTGAGATATGATGATAAAACAAAAAGCATTTTAAAGCAAATTTAATAAAGATTCAATGTGCCATAAATAATTTCTTATTCTGCATAAACTTGGTTTTTATGATGTTTTAACCCCAACTCTGCATCTTTATTTTTTTAAGAATTAAAAAAAATCATATCTTAAGAACGAATTGAGATATAATAATAACAATTTAAAGTAAATTTGATAAAGATCAATGTGCCATAAATAATTTCTTATTCCCCATAAACTTCGTTCTTATGATTTTTTAACCCCAACTCTACATATCTATTTTTTTTATGAATTTAAAAATCATATCTTAAAAACGAATTGAGATATAATAATGCAATTAAAAACAATTTAAAGGAAATTTGATAAAGATTCGATGTGCCATAAATAATTTCTTATTCTCGATAAACTTCGTTATAATTTTATTTTAACCCCATCTCTACATATTTATTTATTTTTTTAAAATTGAGTATAAAAATCATATCTTAAGAACGAATTGAGATATGATGATAAAATAAAAAGCATTTTAAAACAAATTTAATGAAGATTCAATGTGCCATAAATAATTTCTTATTCTCCATAAACTTCCTTCTTATGATTTTTTAACCCAAGTCTATATCTTTATTTTTTTTAAGAATTAAAAAAATCATATCTTAAGAACGAATTGAGATATGATAATGAAATAAAAAACAATTTAAAGTAAATTTGATAAAGCTCAATGTGCCATAAATAATCTCTTATTCTCCATAAACTTCGTTCTTATGATTTTTTAACCCCAACTCTACATATCTATTTTTTTATGAATTTAAAAATCATATCTTAAAAACGAATTGAGATATGATAATGAAATAAAAAGCAATTTAAAGGAAATTTGATAAAGATTCAATGTGCCATAAATAATTTCTTATTCTCCATAAACTTCCTTCTTATGATTTTTTAACCCAACTCTACATCTTTATATTTTTTAAGAATTTAAAAAATCATATCTTAAGAACGAATTGAGATATGGTGATAAAATAGAAAGCATTTTAAAGCAAATTTAGTGGAGATATAATATGTCATAAACAATTTTCTTACTATTAAGATCTTTTTGATTCAACTCTGTGTCTTTACACCTACGCTTATTTCTCCTTTTCATTTTATAAATGTGACTAACCATTTAGTATTAGAATTTATTGCGTTTTATTATTAGAAATCCTCGATTTTATGTCATGTCTCTAGAACGTTCAAAAATAATAACTCAAACTAAGTTCCGCCTGTTCGCTTTGATCATTGTAAAGCGTAATTAATCTTTGCCCACAAATCAATCAAAACTCAAAAAAATCATCTTAACTTACCAGTTTTCTTTTATTCTTTTAAAATTTTTCTTTCTAATCTTAATAGAACTCTTCCATAATCACTTAAGTTTTTCATTTCAACAACTTCACAAAATTGTTTTTTTAAATGTTCTTTCAGAATTCAAGTAATTACATGAAATTCTTAAGATTACAAGATGTAAAGATAAAAAAGTCTTGTATACTCAAAAAGAAGTTTATTCAAGAAATTTCAATAACACTGAATTTCTTTTTTATTTTGAATTCGCATATTTTCGAAGGCGATGATGTTAACGAAAAAAGCGGTTCGATTCGTAAAACCGGTACGAAGAAGTAGTCGTCGAAGACGTTCTTCTTTAATAATAAATCGCGGGGGACACGCGAAACTAAAACCGAGAACCGGCGACACCGTGAACGCTTCAGCAGACACACACCGAGAAATCTTGCAGACAGATCGGTTCCCCAGAAGCTCTCCTCACTATCTCCACCGTTCGACACGACGTCCCGTCATTGACTGAACAACTCCATAGGAGAACCCCGACAACGTAAAGATCCAACTGCAAAGAACCGTATTTTCGATCCTCTTCTCCGTTTGCGAGAAGAACATTTCATTCATGATCCATTCACAAAAACGAACTGCAACAGTTTTGTTTATCTCACTCTTAAAAATTTTTTTTCAATACCCGTTTCGAAGATTTAAGAAAAAGAATAAACTGATCTATGGAAATGTTGAAGTATTAAATATTTACACAGATTATTTTTTAGGTATTATGGTAGTAAAGAATTAGCGCTCGATGTAATAAAGAAGATTTTATTGATCATTATCTGTCGGACGTGCGCTTCAGACAGCTTAACGTACAGTTATTCAATTAAATTTCCACACAAAAGCCTATAAAACTCGCACGAAAGTGTGTAGTATTCTGGAATCTCAGACAATCCGGTACCCGTTTTTTGATATTTACACAACCACATCTAATAACAAATCAAGCTTTTCAAACGGGGATTTCTAAAAAAAAAACTAAAGAAAGCTTCTAAGATTTATACTAAAACATACTCAAAAACAATTTTGATGAATTAATGTTGAATACAACAACGGTACTTTCTTTCTCAGTGACAAAAAAAACAAAAAGAACTAGTAGGAAATATTTAAGATATGCAATAAAAGAGAAACGTTCAAAGAAGTTTTTAAGTTCTTCTCAAGTGTCGAGTCGCGAATGGACCCACGATACAAAAAGTAACAAGTTTACAAGAAGAAAAAGAATGTTGACTGATGACTCTCGCTCCGCAAATAACTTTTTAAAGAGACAAATTTGTATTCAAAACAAATTCTATCAATTGTTATATTATAACAAATACGAAGATTTCAAAAATTAAGCAGATGGTGTGAGAAATGGTTAAAATTGAGGGTGGTCGAGATCTATTCAAAACGAAAAAAATACATCATAAATACGGATATTCGAGGACAGCTGCTTTTCTATTCCCCTTTTTGTGGCCAAGTTACAAAACGTACCAAAACGCGCTGACTAATTCAAATAAGGGATTAAAAGAGAGCTTTTAAAGAACTTCCTAAACTCCAAGGGGGTGTATCTCAAAACGTTTTCAACATATTTCACATCTTTATAAAAATTCTATAATCAAATATTTTCACGTTTTATTGACAGAAAGATATTAATTTATGCGAGACGTGTTCGCGTAAATAGTAAATTCAAGTTTATTAAGTCGTAAAATTTTCGCACATACGAGGTAAGGAGGAGATTTTACGACGAAAAGACCTCCTTGCTAAACGGGCCACATTTTATGCCATCATTTAAAAGCCATAATAGATTTTCTTGTCTTTGTTTTGATATAAATCTATTTAATCCGTCTCTGACGTTGTTCTCCTACGATTGGAATTTTAATAATCTTTCAGATGATTCAGGGTGGTTCTAAGACAATATTTAAATTTACGCTTGTCGGATTAATTAATCGTAATCTTTAGATAGTAAAGGATTAACAAATTCTTTCGTTTTGATTATTTCAAGATTTATTTAGGTGCAACCCAGCATCATCTATTAGCCAAAATGAGAAAATCATCTACAGAAATAAAGATTCCTGTACAATTTTAATATATATATATAAGTAAAAAATCATGTCTGAATGCTGGTTTTTGAGGTGGAAAAACTTATGATTTTGAGGTTCATACATTTTATTAAGGATATTTAAACCGGATCTAACAGCTATTAGCTTATCAAACTACAGTTCGTTTTTTTTCTATAACACCTGTCAAATTGTGTAAACTTGGAAAATTAACAGGGAATTTTGTTTTATCATGTTTGTGTGAAATAAATATGTCATACTGATGTTTGTTTGAGCTTTCATTATTCAAAAAGTCAAAAGTAATAGCAGCCTGATTTGTTAGGATACTTCCTTTTCAATATTAACATAACTTGATAGTTCAATTCCCAAGCACCTGTATTGTCATGCTCCATTATGTTCTGGTTCACTTCCAGCTTACATCAAATTGGCTCTTTCGGTGTTGTCATGCATTTTGACCAAACAAAATAAAGTCAATAAATACTGCGACGTTTTGTTCAACTTGTTAAATTGATAAGGAAGCACGGTTATTTGTTTAACTAAAAAAAATTAACTTTATTATTAACTAAACTTTTGAATACTCTTATCTCAAGATTTTAATAAAAATAATAATAATAAGATAGCTGTCAAACTATTATGTTTACGTTAAGAAAGTAATAAAAATTATAAAGACTTAAGTCTATTAAAAGACCCGTAAGTTAGTTTGAATTATTAACATGAACATGAATAATAAAATTCCCACTTATCTGATAAATAACTTTTAGGTTATGTGCGATTCAATTCGAATGTAGATCTCTATTGGGTTGGAAGGTCCCTCTTAGGAATGGAAAATGGACAGGAATCCGGAAAGCTTCGGCTCGGATAATTATTCTTCAATGGTATATTGTTTGGATCAGGAATATAGTAACTGCCCTTGGAGAATTTTCAGGAATCAGGTAATTTCTTCTCAATTTATTTCCAATGTTTAAATTTATTTAATTAAATTTTAATTCTTTTCTTTTTTAGGTTAACAAAAAGTAATCTTTATTCTGTGTTCGATTTTGAAATCGGAGAACTAATTTTAGGTTAGGAAACTACTTTGGATTTTTTTAGGTTAGATTTTTGAATCAAATTTAACAGACCTCTTGCCCTTACTAAATTCGACTGCGTTGGCTCAACTTTTTCCTCTTCTTATATAGCCTTTTCCCCTTCTCCAGAAAATGTTCTTCCTTTTGTTTTAAACCCTCTATCCTCATTGGTAGATGGGTTTCGCGCCATTTCTTCTTTTAAAAATATTTTAAATATTTCTACATTTCGAAAACGCCATCTATCGGATTTCTTTTGAATTACTCAAAATTCCAAAATTTCTTTTATTAAAATCTTCTTTATTCCTTCACTATTCTGGATGAGACTTCGTATTTAATGCATATGTCCTTCTATTTCAGTCATTCATTGGAGATTTCAAAATTCTCCAACCACAAAAGAAGTTTGATGTTTACAAATTTAAAATCCAATTTCTAAAGTCAAAATCTTCAGAAATCTAATAAATTAGATATAGCTGACACCAATCTTCACGTTTTGGGTGGTTTTGTGTGAATATTAACAGTTTTAAAAGAATTATAAGCAAATAAAAATTAAATGTCAAATGAATTGAGGTTATGTCTCTCTCTCTCAGGTAACCTGTTTCGGAAGCTTTATTTTATTAAAAAAATTTTTACATTTTATTAAGAATATTTAAACTGAATCTAATAGCTATCAGCTATCAAACTACAGTTCGTTTTTTTCTATAATACCCGTCAAATTGTTGTAAAGTTGGCAAAATTAACAGGGAGTTTTGTTTTATCATGTTTGTGTGAAATAAATAATATGTCACACTGACGTTTGTTTGAACTTTCGTTACTCAAAAAGTTAAAAGTAATAAAATTAAAATAAAATGAACTGTATATCTTCCATAAAGTGTCGTTTAAGCAGCCCTGCGATTTTACTGACTTTCCTGACTTGTTAGGATACTTCCTTTTCAATATTAACATAACATGAATGAGTTCAACTCCCAAGTACCTGAATGTCATGCTTCTGATTTTCTTCCAGCTTACATCAAAGTGGCTCTTTCGGTGTTGTCATGCATTTTGACTACAAAATAAAGTCAATAAATCCATAAATACATGCTATATTTGAATACAAGTATAATATTGGTGTAAAGTTTGTACTCATACAAAAAATAGACATTGATATATCTTGAGTAAATCTAAGCTATTATAATCTTATAAAAAGTTTTGGTTTCAGGTAGCTTTGGTAAATAAGATTAACATAAAAATTCGAGTTATAATATAAAATTTAGGTAACATCAAAAAAATTTAAAAATTCATTAGAAACTTAATAAACTGTTTAAAACTTAACCATACACCATAAACATAACAAAAATGGAAAGTATTAATAAAAAAGAAAAGTTAAAATGTTTTTCTTGCGTTTTTAAATTGAAAATAATTCTTTTGAATTGTTTTCAGGGAATGTTTTATCTAAATACTCATAAACATATTCGTAAAGAAGCAACATAATAGCCCCTCCAGGACCTAACCGCATAATCTTGGGAATTGTTCCTTTATATAGTGCAAAAAATCCTTCCTCTTTATAAACTAAAGTAATGGCTTGGAATGTTCCAAAGTATTTAATGCTACCAACTATTGGTTGTGGACCTTGAATTCTTGATTTAGCAACATCAAATGGAATGTTTGCCAATGATGCTAATGTTCCTGAGACAAAACCAATTCCTAGTTTTCTTAAAAATTCCAGTCTAGGATCCTAAAAACAAAATTAATATTTAAAAATTTGTTTCAGAAATAAACGAATTTGTATTACTGAAAATGGTGGATAAAATCCTTTAACTGAATGATAAAAACTAAAATAAATTGTGTTAAAAACCCCGTTTCTTCCAATTGTGGCTGTTAACCCTTTGTTTAAACCTTTCCCACCAAAACCATCTCTATTAATAATTTGCCGCGTCATATTCCATGTTGAAGGCACTTCTTTCCCTGTCTTTTTATTCGCTTGTAAAGCCACTTTAACCACTTCAAAAGGATTTACAAGAATTGCTTCTGTAATTCCCGTTCCTGCGCCTGCCAAAGTGAATGTCTATGATTTATTAATTAGTCTATTCTTTGTCTTACTATTAAATAATACTTACTATAGGTGTGGCAACTGGTGAACCAAACATAAACAATTTTTTATATTGTTCAAATGAAAAGAACTAAAAATTATTTATTTTAATATTACATTTAATCAATTAAATTTAATTAGTTACCTTAAGAGCTCTTTTAGGCGTTTCAACTAAAATAGGTGGAACAATTCCTTTCCAATAACTAGTAATACCTTCATGTTTATACATCTTTCTAAAAGCATCAAAAACACCTGTATAATACTTAGGATCATTACGATTAACCCCCGATTGTATTTGAAGCCTCGTTTTTATTAAATCTAAAGGATGCATTATGCACACTTCGATAAAACCTACGTTGGTTTTTAAAAATGAATTAAAAACTCAGTTTTTAATTGAAATTTTAAGCTATATTTACCAGCAGACCCTCCAGAAAAAATTTGGAAAGTTGCTTCTTTCCAAACAGGACGTTTCTTGATCATCGTGGGTGCCGACATTCTTCCCAATCGAATCACTTTTTAAATAAACTTAACCTAACTTTGTAATGCTACAAAAATGAAAACGTGGCTAAACATACTTAAATTGATAAGAATTGAATGAGTAAACTACGAATTTTCGAATCATGATGTTATGACGTTTCATAATCAGGTCCGGACTATTAATAATTTAAAAAAATATTATTTTAAAAGCACAGTTTAAAAGAATCTTTTACAAAAACAATTCAATCATCAATTAAAATCTTTTTTTACAAAAAAATCTTATTAAATCAGCTTATTTAATCCTTTTATGAAACAGTTACTAAAATATTTCAAATCAATCTCTGTATATAAACAGCTGATTTTGAATTTACACAAGACACTTTTGACATTAATGTGACATTAACCTGACGTTCGTGCAAACGCAAAACTGACAGTAGTTGGGCCATGTAGTGATTTACGCTTATTATTAAAGGAAAACGGAACGATTAAAAGCGTTGTCGATGTCGCGGAAACGTTCATTGTGGTGACCAGCCTGGTTACGAACGAAAACATAGTATCGTGCGAATCATTTGGCGACGGATAACCCGAAAAAATTAACCAAGATGGAGACACAGAGCTCACTTTCATTGATTCAACTGGACCGAAGGACTTGCTTAACGTAAACATGCGGCACGGACACGGGTTCAGGCCGGGTATAGAATGCCAATAGAAGACCGGACAATGGGTTCTCAGGCTTTTGAAATTCTTAGGCAGGGTGTTTGGGCCTCCCTTACAGGAGGGTGGTTCTATGATCCTCATCAGGATGTGTTTTGTAACACTTTCCACCTATATCTTTGGCTGTTTTTACTTTGTGTTCCTTTTACAATTTATGTTGTAAGTCAAATAAGCTAAATGTCAAAACATAACCTAACATAATTTCTTTGTAGTATTTCCCCCCAACTTTATATCTTTGGTATGGTTATTGCATTTTGGCGGGAGCCGTATTTGCTGGGATAAAATTGGTGAATTATGCTCTTCATCATATGTACGATACAACTGAATGTGTTCAAGAAAAAGTGGAGGAGGAATGGTCAGGTGAAAAACGAGAAGAAGAAGGAATTGAATTAGACGTTTTGAATAATAAACAACAACAATCAGCAAACACCTTCTTACATGACTTTACTGGTTCTTTAACTGAAGTGGGACCCTTAGTAAGCACAGACATTGATAGTGTTGAATCGGAGGAGTTACAAAAAGTAGAAGCAGGCAATATTAAACAAACAAGTACAATTGATTTAAAAGCTGAAGTTCATCGCAAAAATTCGTCTGAAAGTAGTGATGAAGGTCCAATTTTTGAAATTGTTACTATCAAAACTGATGGAAATGATGCAGAGATAGCAGGGGCTGCTGCTCTTCCCGTGCGCACCAAACCCTCTAGACAAATTGAACAAAAACGGAATGGTGGTAATAGAAACATGAGGAAATTACATCGGCAAGCTAGTGTAGACTCACAGGAAGCTTCAAGTATGAAGAAATTGAGAGGTGGGTTATTTACAAGACCTGAAATGGAGATGGAACCTAGTTGCTCTGCTACTCATACACCTAGAAGACATTCAAATTTTACTAATGGAAGTTTATGTTTTATTCCACAGGTAATATTTTGGTTTAACACGTTTGCTACCGCGCTTTCTGCAGTTTTTGCTAAGTTTTTGTAAAAAAGACCTAGTGTAGATTACTGGACACGCCTGAATTTTTCTTGAAACTCTCTATTTTCTTTTTTTAAATATAACCTAATGTGCTATACAAGCCAAAATGAATACTATGGCTACCCCAAAATATTAGAAAACATAATTATTGTGCAGTGTGTCAGATTCTGAAGGATAGATCTGCACATAAACTAGGTTTTTTTTTACATATTGGGCTGTTGTATCAGGATTACTTGTAAACTAAACTTCTGCTACACTGGTGACACCTCTTCATGGCGGATTTGTCTTTCTGTGTGGGGGGAACTGTCTCCAGATAATGGAATTCTGACTTCAAGAGATCAATTTTGGTTGTACCTCTTTCCTTCTTATATGCGTATTAGGCATTCCACATTGCAATATTTATAAGATGAAAGAACACTTTTCTGAACTATCTTATGGTTTTCTTTGGTGATGACTAGTATCCCATCACCTTGTCTGATCTGTCTATCCAAGACAAAGTGACTCTTTCGGTGTTGTCATACATTTTGACTACAAAATAAAGTCAATAAATCCAGAAATACATGCAATATTTGAATACAAGTATAATATTGGTGTAAACATATTGGGTAGTTGTATCTGGATTTCTTGTAAACTCCACCTCTGCTACACTGGTGACACCTCTTCATCGCGGATTTGTCTTTCTGTGTGAAGGGAACTCTCTCCAGATAATGAAATTCTGATTGTTGGTCTATGGTTGTCCTAGTATATCCATCATTAACCTTTAGCATATCCTTTATAACTTTTTGTCTGAATCTCAAGAGGTCAATTTTGGTTGTACCTTTTTCCTTTTTATACAGGGGGTGTCCGGAAATGACGTGTACAACGGAAGACCACAAGTACCTTGACCAAAAATATGATGACTTAACTCAACTTATCTATATACAATATTGTTTAGTTTAGTCGCTAGAGGGCTTTGAAAATTCATGATGAATACGAATACTACCGTCAAGTTTAAGCGACAAACTGTTTTTGTTTTTAAAATTAATTATACCCAAGCCAACTATTAAAAAAAAACGTTCTTAGTTACCTTGCACCAGTTATTCGCGCTTGTGGGGATTTAGAAAATATTTTTTTATGGCTAAACCGTTCACCCAACTGAAAATTTAATATTTGAAAACTTTCTAAATTAAAGTACCTATTCAGAAAAAAAATGGTAGTGTTTGTACAGGGGGTTAAAAAGATATGGGTGCATAATTTATTGTGACAAAGTTTTTAAACACCCTATAATTTTCGAAATTAGAGTTTATTCCGCAAATAGCTGTAGTCTACTGATACAAATGCATGACCAAAAAATAAATAAAATCCATCTTGTATATGTATTAGGCATTCCACATTGCAATATCTATAAGATGAAAGAACACTTTTCTGTACCATCTCATGGTTTTCTTTGGCGATGAGTAGTATCCCATCTGATCTGTCTATCCCAGACAAAGTAGCTCTTTCGTTGTTGTCATGCATTTTGACTACAAAATAAGGTCAATAAATCCATAAATACATGCTATATTTGAATACAGGTATAATATTGGTGTAAACATATCGGGCAGTTGTATCTGGATTTCTTGTAAACTCCACCTCTGCTACACTGGTGACACCTCTTCATCGCGGATTTGTCTTTCTGTGTGGAGGGAACTGTCTCCACATAATGGAATTCTGATTGTTGGTCTGTGGTTGGGCTAGTATATCCATCATTGACCTGTAGCATATCCTTTATAACTTCTTTGAACCTCGAAGTCAATTTTGGTTGTACCTCTTTCCTTCTTATGTATGTAATAGGCATTCCACATTGCAATATCTATAAGATGAAAGAACACTTTTCTGTACCATCTTATGGTTTTCTTTGGAGATGAGTAGTATCCCATCATTTTGTCTGATATGTCTATTCCGGACATTAACTTATTGTAGGCGAGAACACACACTGGTTTTATTACTTCTTTTCTTTTTCTATTTGTTGCTTCTACCATTCGGAGTTTATGCATTATTGATGTCATAGCCGCCAATCTCTTGTCCTTCCAGTGTGTAAACTGTGTAACCAATACTGGACCTTTTTTCAATACAGCTTCTCTGGACTTTAAATTTCTAAGTTCTGTACCATTTGGTATTTATGCATTGTTGATATCATAGCCACCAATCTCTTGTCCTCCCAGTGTGTAACCAACACTGGACCTTTTCTTTTCCATGCAGCTTCTTAATTTTTTCTTAAAATACAGTACACCCGCTATTGTGTGAACACAAAAATACAGTGGAACAGTCATACTAAGGAGGGTGTTCATAGAAACAAGGTTCTAATTAAATAAATTAAGTTTATTAATTCAACCTCAGTTATTCATGAACATTCCTAAGACTTAAAAAAATCTAATTTTTTTCTGAATATTTTTTTGAGCAATTTTGCTTTTCCTTCAATTGCTTATATTTATGGAATTTTGATTTGACCTTTCTACAGCAACATTAAATGCTTTAATTGTCATCAGAAGAAGACATTTCCACAACATAGCTGCCTCATCTTTGTCCAAATGTTGCACATTTGCAGCAGTGTAGTCACCCTAAAATGTGCAGTTTATGATTTTGCTATCGACTTCTAAAACCACTTATGCATTAACTTACTGGAGCTACTTCCTGTAGACCAAAGTTTTTTTGCTTCTTAGTTTTTCCCTTAATATACTTAGCGAAAAGTCTGCATCCTTATTATGTTGATTAAAATCTGAGAGGATGTTTCTTCAAGTCTTCTTGGTTATTGTTGAGCTAAGTTTTTCCACACCACAGACAAATTTATGATTGCATCTTTTAGTGAAATCTTACTGAGTGCTGCAGCTATTCCTTCTTCCTTTGATGCAACAGAACTGAACAAACTGTTTCTATAGTACAGTTTGGTTAGCCTTAAAATATTTTGGTCTATTGGTTGTATTAAAGACTTAACATTAAGAGAATTTTACAAAGATCATCCCATCTTTAGTCCTCAGTTCTGTTGCTGGTGGTGTTGCGTTATCCTGAATGCTTTCTGAGATAACTCAGAAATATAACTACGAATTGTGTAATATAATTTTGAAATATAATCAGCCTTATGAAACAAATGGCAGATAATTTTAACTCTTACTTCAGGTACATAATGTTGAAAAAACAATTCCTTAAAAAGTTCCCCGTTCCTTTTCCATCCACGCCTTTTTAGTGCTTTTGTACAGCAATGGGTTGTTAAAATTTCTAAAACACCTTGGATTTTTTAATTTCCCTATCATTAAGGGTGTCAGCTTATGTAAGCCTGAATCATTTACATAACTCATAAACGTAAGTCGGTTGCTTCAAAATTTTTAATCCAGGAGCAGTTTTTTCTGCTAGCTCATAAGACATAAGTTTTGTTAGGCAATAAGCACCAATAGTCATCAGCATTATAAATTTGATGCCGCTTTAGGTGATGCTCTTGAATCATACGTTTTAGATCCTCTTTAAAAGGGTCTACTGCATCTGGGTTGGCCAATAATTTCTCCCCTGCGATTTTCAAAAACCTTAATAATCAGGACGCGGTAGCGAACGTGTTAATGTATTTTGAATTAATTACATTAATTTTTAGGTAAGCGTCCGTGAAAATGAAATAAAACCAACGGGATCGTTAGAATTAGGGTACATTGATAAAAACCCAAATCAAGCATTAACATCAGAAGGAGGTTTGTATTTTAATAGCAGTAATAAAGGTCGCGTTCGGAGAATACGAAGTACAGCTTTGGAAACGTGCTGTCCCCCGCCAACATTAAGTGTTCATCCAAATAGTGTCGAAATAATCGGTGGAAACATGAAAAATTCAAAAAATCCCTTACCCCCACCTAGCAGTACCTTAATTCGAAATCAACATCTTAATCTTTGTCCATATTACGGGTCAGAAATTGTTTACCCAATCGCCGAACAATCAGACGAACACCAAACCTCGCATGGTCCCGATACTGATTTAGAATCCCTTAACCATAATTCCGACACAGATTACGAAGAAATCAATCAAGGTATACGATCCCCGCTTCTTTTACGACTCCAACATCACCCTGAAAGCTTAAAAAAAATCCTTTCCATAAATGCACATCATCGCGATAACATCAAAGACAATATGAACGTATGCTCAGTGCCGGAAGTGTTTCATTACAATTCGAAAAGTGACGATCACGAACGGACAAGCGCCACGTCGAAAGATGCTCTATTAGATAATGACAATTTAGACAATTCGAATTCGAGCGCTACGCCTGAAATGCAAGACGCGCGTGCTGATTTCATGACCGATAACGAATTAAGCGACAAAAAATCGCATAGCGAGTGCTCGAATTTGTCTTGTAGCAATACAAGCGTTGAGTGTGAGGATGGTGATCAAAGATTTAGCGTGATCGTTTGTCGGGGGAATAATGTGGTTAAATTACGGTCGAGTGCGGTTAATACAGACGTGATTGATAGTTGCGTGGATGATAATAAGTTTTTGGATGAAGATTGTGCGGGGCCTAAGTATTTACCAGGCGATGGAAAGGATACGGGAGCTGTTAGAAAACGTTTAGCAACAAGGAGGGTGAAAAAGAAAAAATCAAGTAAAGGGAAAACGTTGGGAAATTGCTCTAGTTTAATTGAATTGGATTTGGATATTCTTTTTGATGATGAAAATAATCATCTTAGTCATTGCAAAGGTAAAATTGTAACAATTTGATATGTAACTTTAACAAAAAGATATTTTCCACAATAATTAAAAAATTTTCATGTATTTAGGAACAGATTTTCGAAATCCTGATTGGGCATCGACAACTAAAGTATCACTTGAACAAGATGTAAGTAAAGTTCTTCAAGAAACCGTATCCCGTCGTTCGGCGCACAGCTTAGGAGCAATACCAAAGAAAATCCGTTCAGCGAGTCATCCATCAGAAGATTTAGAAAAACCCGCCCGTTACATCGTAAAAAGCGAATCGGATCGATCTGGAAGAAGACGTTCTGACCGCGAAGAAAGACAATTTCACAGAAATCGATCGATGCGAGAAAATAAATTGACCCAAACACTTAAACAAAACGAAAATAGTTCCGTTGAAGGTTTGGAATGTTTGGTTCTTCCAAATGGACATAACGGCCATCAGTATAGAGGGAGGAATAATGGGGGAAATGTTAAGCATAGAAACGAAGTTTATCATCAAGAATCTTCGAGTGGATCTAATAATGAATTGAGTAGTTTGTTACCAACGCAAGCGTTATTTTCTGCTTTTTTAGCGGCTAGAAGAGATGGGCAAAGTATGATGGCTTATGATGGGATGTTACAAAGACATACACAAAGATTTTCACCTCCAAGACATTGCAGGTTAATTATTATTTTATATGATGATGGCGTTATTACTATTACTTAAGTTAATCTATTTGCATCATAGGCTTAAATATTTGCGAAACAACTATAACTGACACTAACACTAAACCTAGAACTAGAAATTCGGATTTATATAGGATATGTCCATTTTCACCATGTGTTAATATTTTAACAAAAAAATTATTTAATGATACTTTGGTGATAATTTATTAATCTAGTCTAGATCTGGTTTTGGGCCATGCCCTTCATCAGTAGATTAGTTAGACCCTACAATGTACAAAAATATAAGATAGTAACATTAGAAAAAATTAAGGTTAAAGTAGCTTTGAAAATAATGTATATGCAAAACTTAAAAACTAAACTCACGTCAACATTAAAACTTTGCAAAACATATGCAATATTCACATTAAGATATCAGCAAACAAAAAGTTCTTAACTAGTTAATTGGAATGAACTTGATGTTATTAAAAGAAATTATTACAGAAGACAGAGGCATTCCTGAATGACAATAATTTTCAAAACATAACTAAAGACCCAACTACCTATTTTCACAAAAAGACAAAACAGATAATCAAAGAAAACATAGCAGTAATAAATGAATTTCTAGGCAACAATCGCAATATTATACCTCTGAACCCACAAATTCCCATATTGTACGCCCTACCTATTTTTGTACATTGTAGGGTCTAATCTACTGATGAAGGGCAGGGCCTGAAACCAGGTCTAGACGATAAATTATCGCCAAAGTATCATTACATAATTTTTCTTTTAAAATAAAAAAAATTAAAACTAGAACTAACACTAGCCGCCTTAAAAGACGTTCAGCTAAACCCAAATGTTTCTAGCTCTAGGTCTACTATTAGTTCTCAATAATCAATTTTAGCAAAATATGCAATCTCCCCATTCCAGGGAGATAATGGTACTTGACAGTACCATCAGGCATTAAAATATATTTTAGTGATATTGCAGTAAACAAAAACTGTTATTGCCAATATAAAAATAATACATTTTTTTTATATTAGAAAATAAGTAACACTTGCTTTAGTTAAATCACATTATAATTATTCAGAAAAACAGATCTTTCAGTACATTTTGAGTGGGGTCTAGCTTTGGCAGAACAATTTTCACAACTTCCTCTTTCTTTTGAACTCGCGCTACGACATTTTCGTAGACGCAGTAAATTTGAATATTTATTTATCAGACCTGTAGCTACAGAATGACGAAAATCTGATAGAATATTGAGAAAAAACATATTGAGCAAAAACTAACATTTTCGCATAATCTAAGTGTCGCAAAAGATGCTAATTTATAAATGCCTGGAAGCCGTGTTTATTGAAATTAAGAAATGAAACTTATTTTAAATTGAAGCTTAAAGCTTTCTGTTTAAATCGCTGTATAATAATCGTTGGGTTGAATTAGAAAAATATTGAGAAAAAGAGTATTGAGTTAAAACTAACATTTTCATATAACCTAAAAATTTCAAAAAAGATGCTTATTTAAAAATTCCTGGAAGCCGTATTTATTGAAATTAAGGAATGAAACTTATTTTAAATTAAAGCTCAAAGCTTTCTCTTTAAAATGATGTATAATAATTGTTGGGTTGGATTGGAAAAATATAGAGAAAAAAAAAGTTGAAATAAAACTTACATTTTCGTATAACCTAAGAGTGTCAAAAAAGATGCTATTTTAAAAATTCCTGGAAGCCGTATTTATTGAAATTAAGGAATGAGACTTATTCTAAATTAAAGCTCAAAGCTTTCTCTTTAAAATGATGTATAATAATTGTTGGGTTGGATTGGAAAAATATTGAGAAAAAAAATGTTGAAACAAAACTTACATTTTCGTATAACCTAAAAGTGTCAAAAAAGATGCTAATTTAAAAATTCCTGGAAGCCGTATTTATTGAAATTAAGGAATGAGACTTATTCTAAATTAAAGCTCAAAGCTTTCTCTTTAAAATGATGTATAATAATTGTTGGGTTGGATTGGAAAAATATTGAGAAAAAAAATGTTGAAACAAAACTTACATTTTCGTATAACCTAAAAGTGTCAAAAAAGATGCTAATTTAAAAATTCCTGGAAGCCGTATTTATTGAAATTAAGGAATGAGACTTATTCTAAATTAAAGCTCAAAGCTTTCTCTTTAAAATGATGTATAATAATTGTTGGGTTGGATTGGAAAAATATTGAGAAAAAAAATGTTGAAACAAAACTTACATTTTCGTATAACCTAAAAGTGTCAAAAAAGATGCTAATTTAAAAATTCCTGGAAGCCGTATTTATTGAAATTAAGGAATGAGACTTATTCTAAATTAAAGCTCAAAGCTTTCTCTTTAAAATGATGTATAATAATTGTTGGGTTGGATTGGAAAAATATTGAGAAAAAAAATGTTGAAACAAAACTTACATTTTCGTATAACCTAAAAGTGTCAAAAAAGATGCTAATTTAAAAATTCCTGGAAGCCGTATTTATTGAAATTAAGGAATGAGACTTATTCTAAATTAAAGCTCAAAGCTTTCTCTTTAAAATGATGTATAATAATTGTTGGGTTGGATTGGAAAAATATTGAGAAAAAAAATGTTGAAACAAAACTTACATTTTCGTATAACCTAAAAGTGTCAAAAAAGATGCTAATTTAAAAATTCCTGGAAGCCGTATTTATTGAAATTAAGGAATGAAACATAATTTAAATTAAAGCTCAAAGCTTTCTCTTTAAAATAATGTATAATAATTGTTGGGTTGGATTGGAAAAATATTGAGAAAAAAAATGTTGAAACAAAACTTACATTTTCGTATAACCTAAAAGTGTCAAAAAAGATGCTAATTTAAAAATTCCTGAAAGCCGTAGTTATAGAAATTAAGGAATGAAACTTAATTTAAATTAAAGCTCAATGCTGTCTTTTTAAAATGATTTAAAATGAGTGTTTAAAACTACCTGTACTTTAAAGTACCGTCGGGACACAAAGGGTTAATTCTACTTTCTAACAATCTATATCATCTGAATTTCACTCTACATTTAAATTTGTATTTACACATTTATATCCTAATTGAACTTCTTTCTTTTTATTTCAGATTAAGACGTAACGCAAGAGTAAGTAGAAGACCACAAAATGGAATTCGTTCCACTATCAATAAAAGAATGCGTGATACGGCGATAGCAACGACTTTATCATCCGGTCATGGTACTCATTGTGCAAAATCGTTTAACGATACAAGCGACGGTTCAGTTCATTGTTTCTTGGACGAGTACGGAAATTGGGTAACATATACATTCGACGAAAAAGGTTTGGGAACGGCGAATAACACGACGAATAATTTGCCGGCGACCAGTGCAGAAGATCGAACAAATTCGAAAGCAGTTGAGGTTTGGAACAACCCCATAGACTCCTTATCAGTAATTTCAGATGCTTTAAAGGTGAGGAGTAGCATGATTCCGGTGAGGATACAACGAGAAGATATTTCAAGGAGACAAAATGAATCAAATACAACAAATTCAACCGCACAATATATGGATGAAGGCTTTTTGAGGGATATGTATTTGATTAATAATGAAAACGAAGTGGATATGATGCCAAGAAATCGATTTAGAATAATTCCAGCCGCTGATACGTTAAATAATAATTTTCCGGCGACGACTTCTTATTATAAGTTTAAAATATTCCCGTGGAGTTACATAAAAGTCACTTTAGATAGGTTAAAATTATTGGCTTTATTAGATAGGAATTTAACGTTATTCGAGACGTTGCTTTCGATAATTTTGGGGGTTTTAGTCTCGGTTTTAGGTGCTTCCTTGTTATATTTCGGTTTTTACAAAGACTTACAATCGTTTTTATTTTGTTTCGTTATTGCAAGCTGCCAATATTCATTGTTAAAAAGCGTCCAACCGGATGCTGCGTCGCCAACGCACGGTTTTAATCGAATCATCGCTTATTCAAGACCTATTTATTTTTCAATTTTTTCAACAATCGTTTTGTTGCTAAATTCGAAAATAACGAACGAGGAGAGCTCCGAAGAAATTAGTATTTTTGAGTATAATTTTAACAAAGAAGAATTTTTGATTTTTTTTCGCGATTTTTTTATTGCCATAATTTTATTTTTTCCACTTTCTTTTTCTTTGGGGTTATTCCCACAAATCAATACGTTTCTTTTATATTTACTCGAACAAATCGATATGCACTTATTCGGCGGAAACGCCGTTTCAAGTTTGAGTGCTTCCTTTTATTGCGTCTTCAGATCAACAATTGCGCTTATTGTTATGTTCGCTTTGGCTTACGGAGGACTTTGCGAACCAAAAAGATCCCAACATATACTTTTTTCGGTTTTTTGTGCTTGCATAATCGCTTCATCTTATCATTTAAGTCGAAGCGCAAGCGATCCAACAATCATATGGAATATGGTTAAAAAGAATATTTGGCCGCCCGATGTTTATCGAGAACATCGCAAACATTTATCAAAAGAAAAAGAAAAAAGAAATTGTGATAATAATAAAGAAAATAAAGAAGAAAAAAGCGAAGTTGATGCAAAATTAGAATCAAAAATTGAGAAGATCAATGCAAAAATAGACGAAAAAATTGATGGAAAATTGGAAATTAAAGATGATGATGAACCAGGAGATCCATTACCTCATAAATTACAAAAAACAGTTAATGCCCGATTAAAAAGCGACGTAATTTTATGTAGTTTAATCGCTTTATTGGTATTTGGAGTTCATGCTAGTACGGTTTTTACGGTTCTTCAACCCAATTTGAGTCCAATAATGTGGTGTGTTTTGGGTGTGCTGGGATTTTTACTTCATTACATTGTGCCACAGCTACGCAAACAACTTCCTTGGTTATGTATAGGAAGACCAGTTCTTAGAGCGCAAGAATATGATCATTATCAAGTTAGGGGACCTGCTAAAATAATGTGGTTTGAAATTGTAATTATATTATGTATATAGCTTGTTCCAAATTACCATTTTAATTCAAAATAAGTTGAAATAAATAATATTTTTGAAAATGGTGGTTTGAAACATTTTGTACATGGTGTTTCTGTAAGTCGCGGCATAATTTTAATCACAAATATTAGAGTGAAAATGATGACGAATAATAAATGGCTAAGATATGGGATATCAAAGTTAAGAAATTTTCTAACATTTTCTTAAATATTTTCAATATGGTTTGTCTTAGAAAGATAAAATTTGTCAAACAATACAATGTTATCATGAGAAATCGTTTAATTGTAAGATCACTTTTGAAAGTATCAATACTATACAGGTGTCCACAAAGGTTATTTCCTTAAAACTTCATTTTAAAGTTATTTTCTCTCTTAGAAATTTTTGATCCAACCTCGTTCAAGCAGTAAAGTAATGTGTCAAATTAATGGTCATCAATAAAAAGTATTTTTTCTAAACACGCAGCATTAATAGTACATTTTTCCATCATAGTATGGCAAAACTGTACTCGCACCGGATGATCAGCATTTTTTAATTCTTGTACTGTCGACAAGTGGTATGGATACTCTATTTTTGGATATTCCGAAATGTCTGAACTGTTGATATCATCAGTAATTTGCGATATCATCTCACCACTGCGTTAGCATTGCCTAAACATTCTCCCAACTTCAAAAGCATATCGTTTGCTCACTAAAACTGCAATTAAAAACTGCAATTATTTCTCATTTTAAACAACTATTACCAACTGACGATTGGGTAATGATTTGACAGTTCCTTTACTGCTCCAGTTACAAAATTTGTTAAAATTAATGAAAACATTTCATAATTGAGGTTGTACCTTTTTGCGAATAACTCGAAAACGATGCGTCTAAACAAAAATTTTTAAGAGTGAAAATAATTTTAAAATTAAAGAGGCTTTTAGAATCAGTCGTAAAATTTTAGGGGTTTATGACATAATAAAAAAGTTTAAAGGAAATAACTAGTAAAATTTCAAATATTGTTTAAAATTGTCGATCATTTCAAAAATTTATTTCTCAAAAACTAAAAGTGATTTTTCAAAACTACTTTTTGCATTAAAAAGAGGATACTTTAATTAATAATTGGTGATATTTCCACAAGGATTCTTCAAGAAATTATTAAATTATCGATGAAAATTGCAACATCGAAAATTTTATCAAAACTTCAAATATTGTTTTCTCAAAAACTAAAAGTTATTTTTCAAAACGGGTTGGTTCATTGGAAAGAAGACACTTTTATTAACACTTTGGGAAATTTTCATACTCATATTCCAAGAAATGGATTTTATACGAATTTTTAAAACTTAATCGGCGAAAATTGCAAAATTCGAAAAAATTGTCGATCATTTCAAAAATTTATTTCTCAAGAACTAAAAGTGATTTTTCAAAACGGCTTTTTGCATTAAAAAGAGGATACTTTAATTAATAATTGGTGATATTTCCACAAGGATCCTTCAAGAAATTAATTTTATAGCGAATTTTGAAAATTATCGATGAAAATTGCAACATCGAAAATTTTATCAAAACTTCAAATATTGTTTTCTCAAAAACTAAAAGTTATTTTTCAAAACGGGTTGGTTCATTGGAAAGAGGACACTTTTATTAACACTTTGGGAAATTTTCATACTCATATTCCAAGAAATGGATTTTATACGAATTTTTAAAACTTAATCGGCGAAAATTGCAAAATTCGAAAAAATTGTCGATCATTTCAAAAATTTATTTCTCAAGAACTAAAAGTGATTTTTCAAAACGGCTTTTTGCATTAAAAAGAGGATACTTTAATTAATAATTGGTGATATTTCCACAAGGATCCTTCAAGAAATTAATTTTATAGCGAATTTTGAAAGTTATCGATTAAAATTGCAACATCGAAAATTTTATCAAAACTTCAAATATTCTTTTCTCAAAAACTAAAAGTAATTTTTCAAAACGTGTTGGTTCATTGGAAAGAGGACACTTTTATTAACACTTTGGGAAATTTTCATACTCATATTCCAAGAACTGGATTTTATACGAATTTTAAAATTGAACCATATTGAAAATATTTAAGAAAATCTTTAAAAATTTCTTATCTTTGAAAGCCATATTTTAACCATTTATGGGTTTTCTAGTATTTGCGATTAAAATTATGTCACGACTTACAAGAACATATATAAAAATTTAAGATATAAATGTTTTATTTTTTTTTAGGTTTACGTATATCTTTGTTTTTTTGAACGAAATATTTTATACCCAATAATGTTTTTATCGGTTCTTACTGAAGAGGCACCAATTTTAGTAACAAAATTTGAAATAATCCAAGGAACTTTTATCATGGTTATATGTGGATTAAAATGTTTAAGATCGACTTATTCAAACCAACACTTTCAATATCTCATCTTAACTTTTTCCGCATTACTTTTTAAATACCACTATGGAGTTTTTCAACACAGCTTTTTAATAAATTTTTTTTTAATGAGTGTTGTTTTTCAAAAAACTTACGAATTATTACTTAAGGTAACCATAAAAAAACATTTTAATTTTTTTTTAAACCTTTAATTCATTTTTAGCTTCAATTTATCGTAACATACATAGCACCATGGCAAATAACGTGGGGTTCAGCATTCCATGCATTCGCCCAGCCGTTTTCTGTGCCGCATTCAGCGATGCTTTTTCTTCAAGCTGTTATTTCTTCAATCCTTTCGAGTCCATTAAACCCTTTTTTAGGCAGCGCAATTTTTTTAACATCCTACGTCCGCCCTGTTAAATTTTGGGAGCGGGATTACAACACAAAACGAGTTGACCATTCAAATACGCCTCTTTCATCACATTTAGATCGAAATTTAGGGGCTGATGATAATAATTTAAATTCAATTTTTTATGAACACCTTACTAGGAGTCTTCAGCACTCATTGTGTGGTGATTTAATAATGGGACGATGGGGGCCGGTTAATCAAGGCGATTGTTTTGTGTTAGCATCGGATTATTTGAATTGTTTGGTGCATATTATTGAAATGGGAAATGGATTAGTTACGTTTCAAATGCGCGGGTTGGAGTTTCGGGGTACTTATTGCCAGCAAAGAGAAGTTGAGGCTATTACGGAAGGAGTTGAAGAAAACGATGGGTGTTGTTGTTGCGATCCAGGGCATTTACCGCATATGTTAAGTGTTAACGCGGCGTTTAGTCAACGCTGGTTAGCTTGGGAAGTTACAGCTTCAAAATATATAATTGAAGGTTATAGTATTTCGGATAATAATGCGGTTTCGATGTTTCAATCGTTTGATTTGAGAAAAATTATTATAACTTATTATGTTAAGGTAAATCTTTTTATTTTTTTTTATTTTTGGTGCAATAAATTTAATTTTTAGAGCATAATTTTTTACACAATTCGTTCCCCAAAATTAGAAGAGTGGTTATCTTTGACTTCGATTTTTAAAGGATTAGAGCCAATCGCCGACAAAAACTTTGTTGATTTAGATCCGATTTTTAATTTTAACATCGACGAAGATTACGACGCTGCAAGTGGAGGGATGACGCGAAACATGTTTTGTCATGTTTACAACGATTGGATAAGTTTTTGCGTTGATAAAAATCGTAAAAACCTCGATACCTCACAAAACTCGACTTTGGTCCTTTTATGTTTTGCTTTAAGTCTTTTAGGTAACTTTTTTTAACATCACTTTTTAAAAAGTATTTATAACGTTGATTTAGGACGAAGATCTTTAGCGACTGCATCACATAACACACTTTCGACGGTTGAATTCTTTCTTTATGGACTTCACGCTTTATTCAAAGGCGATTTTCGCATCACTTGCCCAAGAGATGAATGGGTTTTTACCGACATGGATCTTTTTAAGAATGTTGTAGCACCGGGGGTTCGAATGTCGTTAAAACTGCATCAAGATCATTTCATGGCATCGGAAGAATACGAAGAACTCCCTGCTTTATACGACGCGATTTGCAAGCATGAAGAAGAATTGGTTATCACCCACGAAGGTGATCCGGCGTGGAGGAGCGCTGTTTTAAGTGGAACTCCAAGTTTGCTTGCGTTAAGACACGTTTTAGATGATGGCACAGACGAGTACAAAATTATTATGTTAAATAAAATGTATTTAAATTTTCGGGTTATAAAAGTAAACAAAGAATGTGTAAGAGGATTATGGGCTGGACAACAGCAAGAATTAGTTTACTTAAGAAATCGAAACCCCGAAAGGGGGAGCATACAAAATGCTAAACAAGCGTTAAGAAACATAATAAATTCTTCTTGTGATCAACCAATTGGTTACCCAATTTACGTCTCGCCTTTAACAACAAGTTACGCGGAAACCAACGAACAACTCTGCAGCTTAGTAGGGGGTTCAATCAGCCTTGGAAAAATCCGAAACCACCTGTTAGAATTATTCCGCAAAATTCGAAAACGATGTGGGGAAGGTTGTTCTAGCGGAAGTTCGGGAAGAGATGAATTAGGAATGGGACACGAAGGCGTTTACGCGATGACTCCAATTGCAGCTTTAGGACATCACACGGCCGGAAGTCAAAGTATAGATGGTTCGCATTTAGGGGGAAGCATCGGAAGGGGATCATCGTTGAGTCGAACTTCTTTAGGTGGAAATCGGGGAAGTTTAGCTTCAATGGGAAAACCTACGAGTTCTACGCTGGTTAGTTTAGCGGGATTATTTAAAGAAAAAGATGAGAGATCAGTTTCGCAAGCTCCAGATGGTCAAGGAAGAGGGGATGAAAGGAATGGAGAGGGGGATGGTGAAAAAGAAATGACTTTACATAGAGTTAGGGTAAATCAAAAAAATGAATAAAAACTGAACGTCGCGCCTTTATTTTATCTACATAAAGAAATAAAGACGCGACGTCCTGTTTGGAACAAACATCCTTTTCTTAAAATTTCTTAACCTTAATTTATTTTTAGATTGAAGACCCCAATTTGGTTTATGATTGTATTAATCTTGGGAGAAGAATCGATGTTTGTTGGCCTAATGAGTATATGAGAGCGCGAGGGGGAAGGTCTCATTGGAGAGATTGGTTGCCAGAAACGGGGATGGAAGGACAGGTAATTATGTGAAATAAAAAAATTGAAATGATTAAGTAAATTTCTTAAGGTTGTTCATAAATGGAGTCCTTACCATAAAGATCCAAGTAAAAGATCTCACGTGGATAGGACGATACTTCTTATACAAATTGAAGATAAATTTGTACCAATTGCTGAAAGTGGGGTGCAAGATTTAGGGGCTGAGGTATAGTGGTACGTTAATTTTAAAAGAAAGAATGAACGAAATAAATTAATAATCAAAAAAATACTAATTATTAAAGGGAGAGATGAATATTGATGTTTATAACATGAAATGGTGTATCTAATGTAAAAAAAAAACTAAACTGTAAAGTGTATTATAAAAAAATATAATATGCGGAAATAATAATAAAATAAATATACGTTGGTAGGATACAAAAAAAAATTGTACAGTATATTTATACAGATAATTTAATTTTTTTTAAATAATTTTTGATTAAGTTTTTTCTATTACAGTTAGGATTTAATTTATTCTTAAATAGTAAAATCGCTACTTATTTTAAAATCTTTTTCTATATCGTTTATTTATCCCCACAAAATAAAACAAAAACGTTGACAGGGTAATCTTTTTATTAAATCTCTACATTCGTCGAACTATTTTGTAAACTGCCATTAGTAAATAATTAATACTCATAATCGTTTTTTATATGTGCTCCCATTAATTTCTGTTTAAATTAACATATTATTTTGAACAAAATATAACATAAAATAATCATATTTTTAAGAGAACGTTTTTTAAAGTAAAGCTAATTTATTAGAAATTGCATGTAAATAGTTTACTAAAAGCGTTTAAAATTCCTTTTTTTAATTTTTTATACATATTGTTACACGGTTGCCTTACTGACAAATAGACTGATTTTTAAGTGTATTTATTTGAAGAAAAAAGAATCTGTTGAAGTTAAGCTATTGTGAATGTTAAAACATAAAAAAAAAACATTGTGATGTTCGGAAACAGTTGATAAAAAATAAATATATACTTTTTCCCTACTTTACTATACATAATTATTATAGTATATTTTAAATTAACAAAAAATTATTAACTAAAAAAGTAATAAAAACGTTGTTCGGATTTTGAACGGGTTTTTCCGACAATTTAAGAACAAAGTTTTATTTTTCAAAGCTTTCGCGCAACATTAATCCCTAAATACTCTAATAACAATTTATTAATAATTAATAATCATCGCAGTGTTTCATAAAAAAAAATACTAATTAATAGCAAGATAAAAAAATATCGTGAAAAACTTTATTCTTAAATTAAGGAATTTGTAGTGTGGTTTAAAAGTTAATTTTTATTAACTTAAAAATAACCGACGTTAATCGAAAAAGTGTAGAAAAACACACTAGTTCATTTCAGCACATTAAAAAATAAAATCTTTTTTTTTATTTACAAAAATAAACGAAACGATTTTTTTAATAAAAAAATGGAGATGAGAAAATGAAAAATAACTTTTTGGGAAATATAATCACATTGTTATTGCTAATGTATGTAGAAAAAAATATAAATATAAAATAACTTTTTAAATAAGATACGAATAATTTTTGTAACTAGATTATATTATTATATATATTATACATATATATGATGAAATTAATTTGTAATATACAGATGAAAAAAGAACGATTTTTTTCCTTTTTTATAAATGGTAAAATACCGGCCTATAAGTTATTATTATTATTATAGTTGTTGTACTCGAGATTTAATAAAATATTTCAAGTTTATATTTTTTCTTTTTTATCATTTCATACACATTTATAATTAATTGTGTTTTAATAATTTTAATATACTTTTGTTGAGTTTAAGAATATCACAAGTGCAAAATCATTAAACCAATTACTGAGATGAAGAATTATTATAATACCTCGAAAATATTAATATATATTAATAACAACATAATAATTAATTGCAGGAAATTGGTGAGTTATAATAAAGCTTCTTAATGTTTTAGATGATTAACATGCTTCATGGTTATGCCCAAAATGGCCAAGATTTAAAATCCTTTGCGTTCCTCAACAACATAACATATACAAATTTTCCGAATCGCTGCTACAACATACACATAGTTACTTTACCACAAAAGCAATGTAAAAATGATATAAAGTCTCTTCTCCGAAATGTTTCGTCAAAACAATATCATTTGGTAAGAAAACTAATACTTCATACCTATATAACCAGTTTTTGGGATTAAAATCATGATTTGGCATTTGTGCTAGCAACAGAAAGGGTTGGGTTGGAGAAGGATGTTTTCTGCAGTCTTGCTCCCCAAAAAATGAAGAAGAAGATTGATTCAGAAACCATTATTGAAGACCCTCTCATATCATCGACCATAATATTAATAATACAGCAGGACAAAGAAAGAACCTAACAGGTAAATATACCAAGTTAAGTGAAGCAGGTGTGCAAGACAGAAGTGTTAGTATTTTTCTGACACTGATAAGTAAAAATAATTTAAATATCTCAAATTTTATTTATATTTATTTTTAGACACAATTCATTTAGTTGAATCAAGATAATGATTATCGTAATGATCTAAAATTGTGCGTTATTTAAAAGGGGCTCAGGGGGACTTCTCACAATCCAACTACAACATCGTTTCAAGTTTAACTATACAGCGTGTGGTGGGGACGCGTCGCATTCACCTGAGATAACCTAAGAAACAAGTCGTAGAGTTGCCATTGTATCAACAACAGGTACGCGTTACGGTTCGTGTTTTCATTAACTAATTTTACGATTCAAAAACGTTCAATAAACATTTTTTAAAAACCTTATACATAACTAGCTTTTTTAAAGAGAAGTGTTTTCTTTTTTTGTTGTTAGTTTGTTATTGTGATTTTTTACAAGATAAAAAAGAAAATCAATTTGTTTTATTAGAAGATTAAAAGGTTTCGTGCGTGCAGGAAAAAGGTAAGCAAAAGACGTCATGTGTTTTCGGTTTCACCCGGTCGAGTCCTTGCGCAAATCAACCGGTATTCTACCTTGACTTTAAAAAAATCGCACACTTTAAAGTGTACTCGTTGCGCTTAAATTACCATTGTCAATGTTGAATTTTATTATGTTGTATGTTTTAATTATAAAAATTATTTAATTGAAATATTAACGAGGAAAAAAATCTTTATTTTAGTTGAATAGGTGATTAGGTAAAATTACATTCATGTCTTATCTAATCTTTCATGTTTAAAAATGCACGTGGTTCTCCGAAATTTTTTGTGACTAATTTGATTTTTAATTAAAATATTATTATTTTTTTGTCTTCTTTCTTCATAAAGTTAATAATCTATTATGATTGTTAACAATGCGATTCTCAAGTCTTTTTAGATTTCCAAACTTTCTGCATATTTTATTTTGTTATATTAATTAAAATAAATTTTCTGTTCATTAAAGCAACGAGATTATCATTTTAATCATCGNGACACTCTTATTAACACTTTGGGAAATTTTCAAACTCATATTCCAAGAACTGGATTTTATACGAATTTTTAAAACTTAATCGGCGAAAATTGCAAAATTCGAAAAAATTGTCGAACATTTCAAAAGTTGTTTTCTCAAAAATTAAAAGCGATTTTTCAAAACGGCTTGTTGCATACTAGTATCGAGTATACATAGCGAAAAATGATGAGTAAGATGGACAGTGCAAAGAATTCCAAAACTTACTTTTCAGTGAGAACAGAAAAAGAAGGAAGAGAGCAAGACCAAAGGTTACCTGGATAAACGGCATTCAGAGGGCATATTAGGGAGAAATCTGAGACCAGCAGACTGGGAGGATAGAAAAGGCTGGAAACTAAAACGGAAAGGAATAGCATAAACGGAATAAAAGGAATAATTTTTAATTTTTTTAACCAACTTTTTTCTCTTCCATGTATAAATTTCATTCCGAGACACTTTAGGATCGAAAAGAAGGTTGCATGGTTCAGCTGGATATTTTTCTATCTTGTTTTGTATTGTCAGAAATCTTTGACATTCAAGTCCTTACAAAAATGTTTTAGTAATACTACGCTGAACAGTTTTTATGTGCTCCCAGCATATATAACCAGTTTTTGGAATTAAAATCATGATTTAGAATTTGTACTAGCAATAAAAAAAGTTGGGTTGGTGAAGATTGATTTAGAAACCATTATTGAAGGCTCTCTTGTATCATCGACCATAATGTTAATAATACAGCAGGATAAGCAAAGGAGCTTCCAGGTAAATATACCAAGTTTAGTGAAGCACTTCTTGTTTTATGGCAAGACAGAATCATTCCATAATTATAAACTATAAAGTACCTAAATAAAAATAAGTACATTTTACTTTTTTACATTTTTAGTACACGCCAAAGTTTTGCTGCATTTATGACGTTATTTTTAAAGATTTTAGACATAATTTGACGTTCCGAGGCACAGTTCTGGATCAAAAAGAAGGTTGCATGGTTTAGCTGGATATTTTTCTATCTTATTCTGTATTGTCAGAAATTTTTGACAATCAAATCCTTTCAAAAATTTTTTGGTAATACAACGCTGAAGAGTGTTAAGCAACGTTTTTATGTGCTCACAGCATATATAACCAGTTTTTGGAATTAAAATCATGATTTGGCATTTGTGCTAGCAATAGAAAGGGTTGGGTTGGTGAAGGATGTTTTCTGCAGTCTTGCTCCCCAAAAAATGAAGAAGAAGATTGATTCAGAAACCATTATTGAAGACCCTCTCATATCATTGACCATAATATTAATAATACAGCAGGACAAAGAAAGAACCTAACAGGTAAATATACCAAGTTAAGTGAAGCAGGTGTGCAAGACAGAAGTGTCAGTATTTTTCTGACACTGATAAGTAAAAATAATTTAAATATCTCAAATTTTATTTATATTTATTTTTAGACACAATTCATTTAGTTTAATCAAGATAATGATTATCGTAATGATCTAAAATTGTGCGTTATTTAAAAGGGGCTCAGGGGGACTTCTCACAATCCAACTACAACATCGTTTCAAGTTTAACTATACAGCGTGTGGTGGGGACGCGTCGCATTCACCTGAGATAACCTAAGAAACAAGTCGTAGAGTTGCCATTGTATCAACAACAGGTACGCGTTACGGTTCGTGTTTTCATTAACTAATTTTACGATTCAAAAACGTTCAATAAACATTTTTTAAAAACCTTATACATAACTAGCTTTTTTAAAGAGAAGTGTTTTCTTTTTTTGTTGTTAGTTTGTTATTGTGATTTTTTACAAGATAAAAAAGAAAATCAATTTGTTTTATTAGAAGATTAAAAGGTTTCGTGCGTGCAGGAAAAAGGTAAGCAAAAGACGTCATGTGTTTTCGGTTTCACCCGGTCGAGTCCTTGCGCAAATCAACCGGTATTCTACCTTGACTTTAAAAAAATCGCACACTTTAAAGTGTACTCGTTGCGCTTAAATTACCATTGTCAATGTTGAATTTTATTATGTTGTATGTTTTAATTATAAAAATTATTTAATTGAAATATTAACGAGGAAAAAAATCTTTATTTTAGTTGAATAGGTGATTAGGTAAAATTACATTCATGTCTTATCTAATCTTTCATGTTTAAAAATGCACGTGGTTCTCCGAAATTTTTTGTGACTAATTTGATTTTTAATTAAAATATTATTATTTTTTTGTTTTCTTTCTTCATAAAGTTAATAATCTATTATGATTGTTAACAATGCGATTCTCAAGTCTTTTTAGATTTCCAAACTTTCTGCATATTTTATTTTGTTATATTAATTAAAATAAATTTTCTGTTCATTAAAGCAACGAGATTATCATTTTAATCATCGATCTTGATCTTTTCACTTTAATCCTTGACCATAATTCCAAATAATTGACAATTCTTGATTAACAAAAGTTTCTGCTAAATCTTATAAGCAAAGGAGTTAATGCCGCCAATTAAAAATCCTTATAAGCTTAATCATTTTAATTCTTTTTCCTTTTTTGTTTCTCAAATGGGTATTTAAAAGATTTTAATTCCCGATTCTCCAAGTATATTTATGTTATCAAATCGATTACTTTAATTTATCAAAAAAATAAAAGAACCATCGAAGACTTTCTAAGTTCTTAACGATGTGAATTCGTATAACAGCGTGAGTAGTGCTCACGTTTCGCTATCTTTAAAGTTAACTTGAAAAGTAAGAGCACGAGCAACAACACGTTCGTGGAGATCCGTTCTAATGTTTAAAAATGATAATATAACTCTTGGGAAATCTACGCGAAAGTTTTGCTAAAATTGATTGTCAGAGAAGGGATTATTTATGATTATTTTTAAAGATTTTAGACATAGTTCTGGATTGAAAAGAAGGATCTTGGAAAAGAATCTTGTTCTGCCTAATCAGAAATCTTTGACATTTAAATGGTTGCAAAATTCTTTCAAGAATTTTTTTGTAATGAACGTTTTTAGAATTAATGGTTTACAATTTGTGCGAACAATAAAAAGAGTTAGATTGGGGAAGGATGTTTTCTGTGGAGCTACTCTTATGGGTGCTCAAACGTTGGTTACTCCACAGATGTTCTGTCTTTCTAGTCGTCCTCTCATTACTGAGAATCATGATCATCAGCTGCCAGTATTCTTTATTGACTTGGGTTTTGGGTATTATTTACTTATTTTAATCTTCTGAATCTCTATATTATTATCATCTCTTCTTGCAATGTGTCCAAAAAACCTCAGCATATTTGCAAATGAAATAGAAAATAGTTTATTTTGGATGTTCGAGGATGGAGAAGATCAGTGATCGAACTAGCCTCATTTTAGTACTTTTAGTAATAGAGCGATTTTTTCAGATTTTAGACACTCTACTCAACATGCACATAATTACTTCACCACAAAAGCAATGTAAAAATGATATAAAGCCTCTTCTCCGAAATGTTTCGTCAAAACAATATCATTTGGTAAGAAAACTAATACTTCATACCTAACATTGTATTTTTTACCAAGTTACATTCGCTCGAATTTCCCAGCCAGCGGCCTTGGAGTAACCAAATGGAATAAAAGGCCGAAAATCCCAAACACATGATAAGTGGCTGAACACGAAAGATGAAAAAACTAAATAACATAACGATTGCATTAATTCACAACAAAAAATGAAACGTAAGAAAACTTTCGTTGTAATTTATGCCTGTGGATTTTATACAAATTTTTAAAACTTAATCGGCGAAAATTGCAAAATTCGCAAAAATTGTCGATCATTTAAAAAATTTATTTCTCAAAATCTAAAAGCGATTTTTCAAAACGGCTTGTTGCATTAAAAAGAGGATACTTTAATTAATAATTGGTGATATTTCCACAA